ATCCAATTAACCCCCCTGTCCCTGCGCCAATCCAATTAACCCCCAAACCCCCTGTCCCTGCGCCAATCCAATAAACCCCCCTGTCCCTGCTCCCCCGTGCCAAGAAGGTCACTAAATTAAATGTTCGTCGCTGGCATATCGTGATGACTGACAGGTCCCAGCCTGTGATGATCTCCCCGCAAGGTTTAGGTCCCCTTGCGTGAGTACCTTCTCTGGCAATCTAGTGCCGCGGCGTGGATTGGATTCTCAAGTCTCGGGCTCTCGCTATTGACATCGAACACGAATTCACCCGAGGATTACTGTCCACGTATACGCCCGCCCTCCCGCCGCCTGCTTGACACGTGGACACTAACGTGTGGCCCGGAATGGGACCGGCTTCACTTGTATCAAATCAGTCGACTGAGAACCGAAATCAGCTTCTTTTCAGTCACCTCCCTCTCCTCAATTTCCACTACGCCAGGCCCCACTACCTTTTACACTGACCTTCTCTATTCTCTACCATGCAGATCGCGCCTAGCACTGAAGCAACGGGAAAACGGGAGGTTTAACAAATGTGAACTTTTGTGACGTGATTTTCAATCTCACATGTGTCATGAGATTTCCATAATACATCATACTAGATGACCTATTGCGCCTTGAAGTGATTTTCAATCTCACATGGGTAATCAGATTTCCATAATATAGCATTAGTAGTAATACTAGGTGATTACCTATTGCGCCTTTGCTCGCAAGAAAAAGACAGGAGGAATACCACCGGACCGTTTTTTTTTTCTTTACTTGTTATTTCCAGTAAAGTAATTGTGAGCGTTTTCTTTGGAAAGGCGGTATAGCTTCTCAGCATCGTGCGCGATTTCTCTGAGTGGGGAGTATAGGGAACATGCATGTTCTCATTGTTTAATGATTTGGAGACACAAGATCGAGAGCAACTTGGCCATTCATTGCTTCTCCTTACGCTATTTGCGCTGTCTGAAGTGAAGAAACCCACACAGTTGCAGTCTGACAACTCAGGAAAAAATAAAAATAAAAATAAATCAGCTTTTTTTTTCTAATATCTTGTTCAAAATTCCAATCAACTACAGGTAGATTAATAGGACATACTTATATGGGTTTGTTATCTTGGAGTTAACTTATTAGGAAAAGGACTTCATAGCTATGGATGGGTTTTTTTTTTAGAGTCGGATTCTGAGTCTGTTTGCTGAGTTTTTTTGCATGTGTATGATCGACCAATCTTTTATGAATGTCGTAAGCTTACTTAATGAGTTTGAACTCCATGTGTGTGTGCCTCTGTGTGTGCCTCTGTGTGTGCCTGTGTGCGTGTGCAAGATGAGTGTGATTGATTGAGGATTGGCCGAGGAGAGTTGTCGAAAGTATACGCCAGCCCTTCAATTATAAAAGGGGAAAAGTTATAAAAGTGTAGCTATTGTTAAACAGGTCTCATAATGAATGAATCAAGTAATCATCATCCAATCCGCGTGGCAGATGCTGTTCACCAAGGAATTTGTCGTAAGTAGCGCTACCATGTGAGCCGTAACGCTGGGCGTGCATCTTGGGGCATTTGTCAGAAGGCGAAAGCCAAAACACACACAAATGGTTCAACCCGAACCAAGCCCACGAAACTTCCTCTCTCTCTCACTTCCTCTCTCTCTCTCTCTCTCTCTCTCTCTCTCCTGTCTCTTATACACATCTAGATGTGTATAAGAGAGGGGGGGAGGAGAGGGATTTGAAGGGAGGAGGGGGAGGGGGGGGAGGGGGTTTTGCAAGAGAGAAAAGAGTGGCAGTGGGAGGACGCCAAAAGAGTAAGAGCACAAAAGAGTGAGACGACGCCAAAAAAGTGAAGCAACCCAACCTACGAGCCTATAGCTCAGTCGGGATACACACCCATGAACTGTTGAAATAAAAAATACGCAGAGAATTTAAAAAAAAAAAAATCTGAATTACATAGAGCCGGTCCCAAGTTCGAATCCAGATGGAATCAGACGAAGCGAATACAAAATATTTTTTTTATGAATTACCTGGAACCGATCGGTTCAAATGATGATAATTCTTTTTTTTCGTTTTTTTTTTTTACAAAAAAATCTGCTCATTTGATTACGCACATCAATAGGGAGAGGCCGGGAATTCTCAACAAACAACCCGGAAGGAATGTGAAAAAAAAAAACAGACACACACACACACACACACAGAAGCAACGCAGAGCGAAGCGAATGGGTGAAGCGGGCGACGGCTACAAACAATGGTTACCCCCGACCTGCGATCCGGACCCGTGCCGTACGGATCCCAACTTTACAGTCCCGATACTACAGTATATTCAACACGTCTGCAAGCGGCCGCTAATACCAGCCGCGGGTGGGCCAAACAAAACAATTTTCGCTGCGTGGATTACATCAAAAATGCCCTCATCCCAAAAGCTTGTTTCCAAAAAAAAACTCAAAAGAACACCCAAAAAAAAAAGCTTTGCTTTGCTTGAATCACAGCCCTACATACACACGGCTATACATATGCATGGTCACTATGCTGCAGACTGATTTCACTTAAGCTTGGCGAAGACAGCCGAACAATAGGACCAGGTGCAGGCTCAAGGGTGCAGGATACCAAGGAATGACTACTGTCAGATATTGTCCACGACTCGGAAAAAAAAAAAAAAAAAAAAAAAAATTGTACACGTCGCCATCGTTGATAGTGACGGCGCGCAGTGGATCCGTCGCAAATAGAAGCTGTCCGTCCGGGGGATAAAAAGGGCATACGAAAAAAAAAAAAAAAAAAAAACCAACAAAGCCACCCCAATTAAACGTATAGGGGTATCAATCGCTTCTTTACGGTATCCCACATCAATGGAGTGTCTCCTCCCTTCTCCCTTCTTCCCCCCCCCCCCTTTACCTTATCCCCCCCCATAGCCGGAATCGTAATTACTTAGTAATACGAGTAAGCTTCACACCTCACGGTTGCTTTTACTTCTCGCCTATTCAACACATGGTCTTTTACTTTGTACGATTAACTTCCTTCAAGAGGGGTTTTTGCCCCCCCCCCCCCCCCCCCCCCCCNCTCTCTCTCTCTCTCTCTCTCTCTCTCTCTCTCTCTCTCTCTCTCTCTCTCTCTCTCTCTCTCTCTCTCTCTCTCTCTCTCCACCTTCGCCTGACGTCTTCCCTCCCTCCTTAAATCCACCCAACCTCCACATTTCCCCTTCCTCCCAACCTGCCTTCCTCCGCACATTCTCCGCCTGACCTCCTTCCTCCTCGATCTCCACCTTCGCCTGACCTCCTCCCTGCCCCAACCTCCTATCTCTCCTTCCTTTCGCCGCCGGACCTTTACCTTAACTCCTTCCTCCATTCCTCCATCCACCCCACCTCCTACCTCCCTCCTTCCTCCCTTAGAACGGCCTCCTTTCTTTCGGTGGACGTAAACAATGATTTATTTTCAAGGTCTCAATAAGGCTGCACGCGCGCAAGAAAGAGAGGGAGAGAGAGAGATGGAGAGACATTTGACCTAACGCTCGTCCTCCTCCACATCCTCCTCGCGCGCGCGCGCCCTTATTCGGAAATGTGGTGTTTACGTAAATTGGGAAAAGGACGAAAAGCGAAGTCCACTCTCTAGGTCGCGCACAAAGAAGGGAGGAAGGAGGGAGGGAGGGAGAGCGGGAGGAAGCGGGGTAGCAGGGACGGATAAGCTAAAACCACGGGAGGAAGAAGGGAGGGAAGGAGGGAGGGAAGGAGGGAGGGAGGGAGGCCGGGAGGACGACAGGCCGACAGAGGAGGCATCGTGATCGTGCCTCTGTGCGCCCCTCTCTCTCTCTCTCTCTCTCTCTCTCTCTCTCTCTCTCTCTCTCTCTCTCTCTCTCGCGCGCGCGCGCGCGCGCGCTGGCGGATCGAACTACGAAATGCGGCGTTCACATCGATTGGGAGAAAAAGGAAAGACGAAATGCACTCTCTAGGTCGGGCGCGAAGAAGGGAGAAGGGAGGGAGGAGGGCCGACGGCTGAGTGAGGAAGGAGGGAGGGAGGAGGACAGGCCATCAGACGAAGGGGCGGCAGGGGAGGGAGGGTCGACGAGGAAAGGCCAATGGAGGAAGGAGGGAGGAAGGAGGGAGGAAGGAAGGACGGAAGAGGAAAAGGGGAGGGAGGAGGAAGGGCCAAAGGAGGAGAAATGTCCGAGAAAGGAAAAAGAGGAGGGGACCGAGGATCGAGGGAGGAGGTCAGCCGGAGATCAGGCGGAGGTCGATCGGAGAAAGAAAGGGGAGGGAGGACAGACGGAGGACGAAAGTGGCAGAGCAGGTGGAGGTCAGTCGGCGATCCGGCGGAAAGAAGAAGGAGAAGAAGGAGAGCACGGATGGGGAGGAGGAGGTCAAAGAAATGGAGACTCACTTGAGTCAGCCATGCCGACGAAGCCTCCAGCCGACGGGCAAGACTTCGGCCACGGTTTAGCCCAGCCTTTCCTCCAAGTCCCACAAAGTAAACAATGACTCAAACACACGCTGCAGTGAGCCACGTCGAAGTTCAAAGTTCACATAGCACCACTAAACTCAATCACACGTGTGCATGTTCAGATTCACGTCGCCAGCACCAATGCGCGTAGGACGTTGCACGTGGCACATGTGCATGGTAGGTGGCGTAAGAGAGAGGGAGAGAGAGAGGGAGAACGCCCGCGGAGAGAGGGGGGGAGAGAGCTTGGCACAAAGGCAGGTCGGACCACGCAGGCACGATAGGTTACGTGACGAAGCGCGCATCGGTTAGGTCGCATGCGACCGATAGGACAGCGCTACTTCCCCCCCCCCAAAAAAAAAGAAGGGACAGCGCTACAGTCACCGTCCGTCCGAGCGTAGGGCGGTACTGACGTATCGGGTACCATTCAGGCGCCGTTCGATCTGGCCGTTCTCGCGAACGGGCGGCCTGGATCGGAAAGGAACTTTAATCGGCCCCCTATCCAGGCCGTCGATCCGTGGGAGCGGGCCAGATCGCCAGCCGATCAGAAATTCATCAGATCGGTGTGCCGGCCGATCAGAAATTCATCAGATCGGTGTGCTATCTAAGCCATCCGTGGTTCTGAGGGGTCTGCAATCCTGGCCGTTATTTATGACGATTAGCAGTTTCTATAGTCTCGAGAATCCAGGCCGTCTATTTGGGGGAGTGACCCAGATCGCCGGCCCATCAGAAATTCATCAGATCGGTGTGCTATCTAAGCCATCCGTCATTCTGATGGGTTTCAGATCCTGGCCGTTCAGTTTCCGTAGTCTAGAGATGGAGACAGACTGTCCAAAAAAGCACACCGTAATCCAGCGGCCTACAGTAGCTCTTAGGCAGGCAAGCATTCAGGAGGTTGTGGATTGGAGCCGCATTCTCAGGCTCGCCTGCGGCACACTTAGTGCCAACCAGCTGTGATAGTCGCCTTCATTTCTTACCAGTATTAGGTCTGGACCCCACAGGCGTGCGAAAAAGCGTATGGATTGGCGCAGAGTTTTTTTTCAGACCCCACAGGCCACAGGCAGCGGCCAGGAGAACTTTGAGCAAACGTTTTCACATAGGGTCATGATGGGAAATTCCTCCGTGGCACTCCAGTTTCCCGAATATTATGGCAAAACAACATGGTAGCCCCGAGTCTCCCCTCTTGATTCAGCCATCCTGTGCGGAAAGGAGGCACAAGGATCGGATGGTGTGCTGAAAAAGAAGAGGCACACTTGCCTAAAAGGGCAACTTGAAGTCTTCCTGATCTGGTAACCTAAATACGTGGACGTGCCGAATTTTGTTGTGGCAGTAGAGTCCCTTTTCTCTTGACCATTCCTGACAGCTACGATTTCTGTTGGCGGATGCTTTCCAAGCGCAAAGATACCGCGAGCCTGTGGGGTAAAACGCTTAGTAAGGTCTTTGGCCAACACGGGTGTGAGTGTGTGCGTGAGCGAGTTGTGTGTGGGTGGAAGGACAATGAAAAGAGAGGTGTAGCTACTTGTAAAATGCTTAGTCTTTGTTGGACCCCAACTGTCAGTCCCAAGCCTAAGGCAAGGGGCAACATGCAATATCCTCTTCACAAAGAGGGGTAACTATGTTTGCATGGGTCCCCCCCATATAGCCTTAGGAATAGGTAGATAGTGAAAAGGCGAAACAATTTGCGAGAATAATAGTGTATTAAAAAAAAAAAAAAAAAAAAAAAAAACACCGTTTATAACCATTAGTAGTTTTAGTAGTATAAGATATTGTTGAAAGGAGCACAACGGTGTGAAATGGGGAACAAGACGGTTGCGAACTGCAAAAAGTTGCACTAACTTCGGTAGGTCCTACAAGGAATTGTAGCGTTAACCTCCTAAACGTACACAAAGCCGGCGCGTTTTGTTTTTTCGTCCTCCGTCCTCGGTAATTCTGAGGTTTTAAGGAGGGTTTTTCTTCTCACCATAATGTTATGGTGTGAGCCCTCCGTGGAATATCAGGGGTCATAAGAGTATCGTTCATGTAGCACAGACCACCAAAAATCTTTAACTTCACGAAGAGTGAAGATGTTGAATAAATCCTTGCGTTGTTGTTAGCAGACAACTCTCTGGATTGGAAGCAGCTGGCAGGTTTTCAAATAGTTGAGGCAATTCGGATGCTAGTAAAGGCAGTCTAGCGTCCACTATCGGCACTGGGGGTACTGAGAAACCTCAAATGAGGGGAGGTAGCCGGCAGGACCAGCCCAGACCCTGCTTACGAGGATATGTCATGACCAGAACACTTTTGATGAGGCTCCTCTAGACCCTTGGTAGCATGGCGTATGACAACGATTGAAAGTCATTGACAAGGGCATTCGAGAATAGGCTATAGATATAGCATATGATTCTCCGACCGTCATTCGAATAGTTGTAACCTGAATGTTTGGCACACTTATGTTCACACTTGTTCATTAAGACAAGGAAGTTGCCATGCCCTACTAACAAACCCATATCTCGTGGACATGGACGTGTTCAATGCATAGTTATTTGACCCAGAGGATTTAAGGGGTAAGAAGAAAAAGAAAAAAAAATCATATGAGGCCGATGATGTTGCATAAACACTTGATAGGAAAACATTGTTCGATGAAGAGTTGAAATGTGAGCAACAACATGAACTTGAATGGAAAAGGTTGACACAACTTTACAAAAATTTCAAGTGAGTAACAAAAACGATGGTGGTCATGTTGGTATGTTAGATACAAGACACGATTGTCTTGTTCTTTCATACAACAATGATGTGATGATGAGTCATCCTTGTTTTCCCCAGATGCATCCGTCATCTTCACTGCGATGCCTCCATGACTATCTTCCCTCTTCGTTGTCCCACGTCGCACTGCATCCCCCTCCATGGCAAAGAATACTCTATCAAATGTCATCACTTCTTATCAACTTGAATGTGAATGCACGTCTCACATTCACAATATTGTCACTTTGATAATTATTCTCTTAATGTCTGACGATTGTAGATGTATTTGGGGTATATTTCAATCCATATGGAGCGATAATGATCGGGCGTTGTATTTGGGTGAAAATGGTAGTTGTTTACAACAACCTGGCTTTATGACACCGTGCACTGCAACGTCCTCGCCTTCCAGATGGTGGGCTCAACACTCCTTGTAGAGGTGCGCTATCCGCTATGATTCAGTCCACGACTTATTCAACATGATTTCGTAAATGTATTTGAGTTGCACCACTTCCTTAATGTATTTGAGGTATATTAATGGTATCAATACATTTAAAACATTTAATATGTCAAAATCTATCAAGTCTAATTTCAGTTCAGATACATGTAAAGTGTTGGGCAGTGGAGCCAGAACCTACATGATTAGGAAGAAAAATAAATAAAAGAAGTCACTGTAATCATTTGCAATGTACACCCCACGTATGAGGTATATGCTAAAATGTCAAGACGTGGGTATAACAAAAGATATTTCAGCCCAAAATCTTTGTAATATACCTATGCTAGGCGGGTGAGGAAATTTGCATTGTGAACTGCGCTGCACTTATTCTTACTCGGTTTGCCTTCCTACCGCGTGAACAACTTTGCAAATAGCCCACGACTGTCAATGTAATAACGTGATAGGATGAGACACTGATTTCGAAACTAACACACTGCGGCGCCGCTTTATCACTTTCCGTAGGGGGGAGAGAGAGAGAGAGAGAGAGAGAGAGAGAGAGAGAGAGAGAGAGAGAGAGAGAGAGAGGCCGGTCCTACTTGGCCCTCAAAAGACTCGGATGCAACATATCGAAAATATGACATGGTTCGGTAGGGTTAAATTGAGAAATTGGTATGTTCCAAGGGATTTAGATAAGTTGAAGTGCAACTTGGTGGGGGTATATTGCAATTATGACCACTCCAAGGTACTCGGGTACTACTTTCTGCAAAGATGTMAAAAGGGCATTCCACTCAACCATGATCTCTTAGAGGTATTTTTGCGTTTATTGCATCTTGGGGGTAAGAGC